AATTCCATGGACAGAAGAGATTGGCAGGCTATAGTCAAAGGGGTCTCAAAGAGTCAGACATGACTGAGTGACTTCACTTTCAATGTTCAGACTACCAGCACTTTGCTGCAAAACTCCTATATATCCTAGCTCTCCCCTCCCCTTCCTCGGAGCAGTTCTTAAAGAGTTACTTAAGATACTGCCTCCAGGCTTGAAGTCCTGAAAGTTCCCACTGAATAAAACATAACTCTCAACTTTTAGATTGTGAATACATTTTTTAGTCAACAAAACCCCAACCATTCAAAAAGTCTCCTGCCTCTTGTTTTGGGTACAGCAAGCTCAGTTTACACTATATTCTCTTTCCTACTATAGTAGCTATTAAAATCTTTCTTTACTGCTAGAGAAGAAAAAAGAGTATCAAAACAAATGTGTAATGCTGATTTATCCTAATTGTAACTAAACAAGGGATTTCCAAAACTAAAATTAAAAAAAAGAGGAACTGTAAATTATTTATGTAATAAAGGCACTTAACTTCTCTCATTCCACAAACCTCTTTTCCAGACTTTAGTACCCTCCCCGCCCCCCGGCCGAAAATAAAAAGAGACGACTGTCGTAGTCACTCAATTATTTTTTTTCCCTTGTTAGGACTTCAGTATTTTTAAAGATTTGACAAAGAAAACTAAAACTGGTTATCTGAAATGTTTTGAAAAGGCCTGCATTAACAATTAGCATAACAGAGAACTGACTCAGATGTGACATCTATTACTCCTCTGACTTTTAACCACATATGTTTTCTTATCATTTCAAGATATGTTTGTCTGATTCTTTTTCTGTTATCATCACCTGTATCTGCATTTCTGAAGTGATAATAACTAAAATATCAGACTGCTTATTGTAACAATTAACATTATCCTCTCATTTCATCAACAGTGCTGGCTGCAAAACACATCTGCACCACTTGTGATTCTGCCCTTTCTCCCCAGTGTCACACGGCTCCTTACATGAAAAAGAAAGGCTGGACAAGCAGAGGAGCTTTCCAACAACCAGAAGGCATGCCACACCAGGTAAAATGGTTCTTTGAGTAGTGCCCTGAACCGCTGTCTTCTTCCCTCTGCTTGCCATGACCTCTCAGCTTTTACAGATCAGATGTTTAGTTAGCATAGAGCTCCATGAACTGTGTTACAGTGAAAAGTTCAACACAGTACAATTAGAGACTAGTACTACCTGCTGCCCGTGGCACATTTTAAAACCTCATTCGGCAAATCCTGATGTGCCAGGTGGAAACCTACCAAAAAGGGATAACTGACCCCTCCCCTTCCCTCAACCCTCATACCCAGTTGAACTGTATCTTCCTTCTGTCTTTCAAGTCCTTTTGTTTCTCTTCATCTTCACTACCCATCATCTCTCCTCAACTGCCAACTTTTGAGAGTTGTGGCCCTGCCTTAGACTTGTCTCCCTTCCATCCAGTCTCAAGCAAAATTCTCTAAGTGCTAATCTAATCAAGTTACTTCTAGTTATCTTTATGCCTACCCAATACCCTTAGACCAAAACCCAAATTAAACAACAAACTTTCAGCTCCTTCACAATTCCCCTCCTGTCTGCCTGTCAGTCTCATTTCTCTATACACAACAGCTTGACAAAACTGCATTTAATTCCTCAATCTGTCACCCTCTCCTCCACAGTCTTACACACAGGTTTCTCTGCCTGGTACACTCCTCTCTTAACCCCTTCTACTTTCCTACCTTCTTCAAATGCTAAGTCCTACTCATTCTTCACTTTGAAAACATGTGAAAAAATAGAGTACAAATAATGTTTTTTTCAGAAAACTTTAACTTGCTAAATTCAAGTTAGGTGCTTTACCTACATATTCTCATAGCACCCTGTACTTTCTCCACTTATCATAACGCCTGTTTATTAGCTCTTTCCATTAACTGAAAGCCCCATGGGGCCAGACACCATATCTGTTATTCTCTCCTTTATTCAAAGAATCTACTAGCACAGTGCCAAACACCTGGTAGACATTTATATACATTTGCTGAATAATGAATAGCCAAGAAACTGAAAGTGGTAGGTCTAGGCTTCTCAACCATATTTATTACCAGTGATTCTCAGAGGAGCAGGAGAGGAAACACTTGTACCCCTAGGAAATTTTCCAAATCACATACAAGCCAAGAACAGATTGAAAACACAGACTTCAAGATATCTTAATATTATTCTTAATCTCCTAAGTGGGGAAAGTTTATCAAATGGATGACATTATCCTTCTGATTAGTAAATTAACTGAAGAGACAGAATAAAATTAGATAAATCACATTTCACAATGCATTCTTTTGGCTACATCTCTATACTTCACTTTTCAGAGATGGATAAAAATACTAGTCAAGCTTCTTAATTTGCCAAAGCAATAGATGATCCTACTATTTAGTACTTCTTTAGCCCCAGACTCTATGCTAAATACTTTTTTAAAAAGTTCTCACAAACCATGAATAAAGCTAGTATTAATATCCCCATGTTACTGATGAATAATTGAAGGCATGAAATTTGAAAGTATGCTGCTAACCACAATTAAATCAACTTGGTAACCTATATATCTGACCTATGATATATACATAATAATTCTGAAAAGATAGGAGATCAAAGATAGACTCCAAGGGGCATATGTGAAATAGCGAGTGAGGATTTTTCTATAGTCAAAAAGGCAAGAGGTGTTTATATGCATTTTATTACCAGATAGCAATCTATTTATTTTTGTAAATGTATTCCCTGAAAACTATTTGATGATATGCCCTTAGTATTTGTTGAGGAAAACTTTTTAATTGCCATGTAAGATCTTTGTCGCTCAGTCGTGTCTGACTCTTTGTGACTCCATGGACAGTCCATGGAATTCTCCAGGCCAGAATACTGGAGTGGGTAGCTGTTCCCTTCTCCAGCAATCCTCTCAACCCAGGGATCAAACCCAGGTCTCCCACACCTTGCACAGCCAGTAACTGAAACTTTTGTCAAACAGGTGGTTTAACAACCATGAACAAAGAACCTCAAGGCAAATTCTTCTCATACTTGTGTATTAGTAAAAAGATCTTTCTCTTTATATCTTCCCTTTATCAAATAATGAGAATGAAAAAAACACACTGCTTTCCCTTCTTCCTTCATTCAAAGTAAAATAGAGTATTCAATTATTGGAATTATATTAGCTCAGATTAAGGTACCTTTACTTCCTCTATTATTAATTTTTAAACTACCACTTCATTAGTCCAATTATGCCAGTGTCATAACTTTTCAAATTTTAAATTATACATAAATTCAACATTTTGGGATAGAGCAAGATTCACGCATGATCTTACTACACTGCTATCAAATTTTTCATGACAGTAACTCTACCTTAATGTTCCTCCCATCAAGTTAATTCAGGAAGTAACTGAAAAATAGTGTAAAAATTTTGACTCACTTATGTATTTACCAGAATAGTGAAGTGATCACTTACTAAATATTAGAATGAAGTCAGACGCAATCTCTACAAGGCAGAAAAGTTTTAAAGAGATGAGAAATAAGCAGATTTAAAATATATCTTTGAGAATACGTGAAAAAATAGAATAAAATACTAGAATGATGAGCCAACAATGAAACTCATTCACTCTTTGACAGTACAGAAGTGGTAGGAAAGCTTTCTAACAGTGTCTTAATTGTTATAGATTTCCCTAAACCCTGAGCAAGACACTCACTATAAAAACACAGAACACTTAGAAACATGTAAATGTATACAGATACACATACAATCCAGCTTGTGTTTACACAAATTAAACATAATTTCCTCAATTAACTTTTCCAATTATATGAATTTTGATCACAGAAAAGTTTTACCTCTCAGGCTCCCTTGCCTCTGAATCCCTCACTCTAAACTTTGACAGCACTATTCGAATTCTTCTGTAAATACATGACTGAAAGTTCCACAGACTACAAAATTCTATAAAATTTGGTTTCACAATTTAAACTTCCTCTAAAATCTAAAGGTGGGAAAAACATGGTAACTCATAAGATTTAATTAAGAATTGGCTTTTTTAAGAGTTCAAATCAAGACAGAAGAAAATCCAAGCATAGATTCAGATTAATATATAGGAAGAAAAATATAAATTTTGTAAAATATAACAGAAAATTGTTCAAGTCAAAATATGTAGAGGAAAAAAATCAAAAACAGGTTCTAGACTGAAATGGATTGAGAGAACATTTCTCATCTCAATTACTTTAAGCCAGCATTCAGATTATCTTAAACTGACATTTTTAAAAGAAATAAGAGACTCAGTAATCTTTTCCTATTTTTGTAATATGTATAAAAGATTAAAATTTAGGGGGGCATTTAAGGGAAGAATATAGTAGCTATCTCTAAATGTACAGAAAAGGGGGGAAAAGGAACACATCAAAAAAATAAGAGACAACTTTAAATTTTTGTAAATATCCAGAAAATAGAGGGAAATGTTTTATAAATATCTGTCCTTGAAATTATTTTCTCCATGTTATACTTTATCCAAATAAAACAAAATATGTCATTGTAAAACTGGGGTCATATTTACTTGACCAATTAATCAGAAAATACATTCTAAGGACTGAGAATGAAAATGTTAGGTAACTGCTTAACTAAGTTTAAAGGAAGCAAAATAATGAAAGGATAAGATATAAAAATGTTCTATTACTTAAAGCATTAAAAAAGACTGAGTTTATTACTGGACAATCAAGTTTAACAGATAGTTCAAGTAATACGTTTTGTTTTTCTATCCTGTTCTGAGTACAACTTACTTAAATACTGTTGCATGTGATTGCAAAAATGAACAAAGGCAAAATCTTAGTATCCCTTAGGTGGTCTTGCTAGACCATGTTAATTTTTCTTTTTTGGTTAAATTCAAAGGAATAGAATTATGGAGAGTTCAGCAACAAGTCTTTCATTAGGATAAGAAATCATGCCATGAGTTCCAAAAAGGGTTAGTTGTATAAATCTGGGAAATAATCACTCATGCAAAAGTCAGAAATACCTGTACCGAGCCACCATGTCTGTCTGCTGCAAGGTGAGCCCTCAAATGATGGGGATTTGCCTGCTGGGAGTCCCAGGCGGGCCTGTGGTCTGCCGACTGCCATTTATTTAATGCATGTGGCATGCATGGAAGAAGAGAAACCCAAAATGTTAAACATCGCATCCTTATAATATAGAAAACAAATGTATAAAAGGAAATTTTAAAAACCCTTACTATTCTGAGTCACAGATGCAGTCATCTTTGCATAGTGAATGTGGAGAGATTTCAATGAAAATGCTACAATTATGTAATGATCAACCACAAAAATAAAACAGCACCACAGAATTTTAGAAGTGAAAGGACTTTAGATATCACAGACTACACTCTCTAATTTTATAAATGAAGCTAACCAAAACTAGAGAGAGAAAAATGACATGGTCAAGAAAGCACTCCATAAACCGTGAAATGTTCTAAAAAGCCATCCCACTATATTTTCTTACAGTAGAGGTCCCCACTGGTTTTCTGATAAGAAACTACTTCCATCAACGTTTTAAAAAAAAGACATTACTTAAACAGCCACACTTAAGGTCTCAGAAAACTTAAAAAATTTTCTCTTCTTGCTTAGTAGTACCTGTTTCCGACTGTGAGGATAATACAACAAACAGAAAAGTTCCTTGAAAAATAAGAACTGCTGTACAGAATACCAAGAGGATATGACAAATTCTTTAAGTGACAATCTTTCATATATGAATCCCTTTGCTTCCTTCATCTATTTTTTTCATATGGTTCAAATTAAGAGACCTATTTTCATGAAACAGGCTGATAATTCTTGAAGATTTTTAGATGACCTGGCAAGCCTGTATGGCAATAACCACAAACTAAATAATAATCTACTAAAAGAACTGAGTAACGGCTTAATAGGGAGCAATTTCTATGTTTCAGGAAAATGTGGACAGTACTAATATCAGGGAAGGAATACAATATTTAAGTTTCTATCATATGTTTGGTTTTGCATTAGCTGCTTTATATGTCTTGTCTCATTTTTGAGACAGAAAGTATTATCCTCATCTTACTGATGAAGACACAAAGACATTAAATACTTCTCTCACATCACTGAAGTAGCAAATAGTACACCTGATATTCAAACTGAGAGCCTACTATTTTCTCAATATTAGTACCTAGCTCATTACCACAATTACATTATGCTCTGAAGACTTCAGGGCTCTTTCTTTCTTTTTCAACTAAAGTAAGGAAAATCTTGCCACAAAGTGTCAAGTACACTGGGCTATATGCAGACTAAGAATATCAGTGGCCAAAGTAACCCTTTAGGAGAAAAGATGTTAAAATCAAGTAGACACAAAGAATAAATGTTTTGGCACTAAGCTTCCTAAATTAAATTGTACCATACAAAACTACATACTCTAGCATAAACTATGTCATCAAAACAATTACGACAATTCTAATGTCCCTTCATTAAATCCTCCAAATTTATCACCAGAATTCAGCTGACTTGTAGGTTAAAGTGAAATAAATTAGATGAGACCATGAGACAGCAGGCAACATTTGGGAATCATGGACTTTTTAAGAAGACACCGAAAGCTATGCAACCTCTCCTCAAAATTAACATTCACATCCACCCAAGATTTCCTGTAAAATTTCAGGATCCCCTGAACTTCAGTGACTGACTCTAAGTTAAAACTGTTTATTTGGGGATATTACAAAGGTTTCAGACATTTAAAGAATTAACCTTTCTTCTTTTGGGATTATGAACTGTGGGTTTATCACACAACTTAAGCTGTTGACTGCAGCACAGATAGTTAAGAAAGTTTCTTCTAGATATACAATGTTCTGTCATGATAAGAATCTATATATCTAGGTTGCAAATTCAATACATAAGCTATGCTAAAGGATTTCCTGAAAAAAAAAAAAAAAATTTGACTCCCTACATTAATTGCAAGAAGGACTATATCAACAAAATATGGTTCCCACCCTCAGTGAGCTAGCAATCAGACTAGCAAGACATATCTGAAACAGGCAGAAAGTTAAAATTTTTAAATATTTAAATTTATTTCAAGAATAATTTAATTCAACAATAAAAGAGGAGTTTCATTTATTACAATACCTAATAGCTCAAGTGGAGATCCTCACAGAATATGAATTACTGGTCTTGTTCCACATACATTTGAGAAATTAACTGATTTATAAAACACATACTCCAAGTCTTCACTTCTCCCATTTCTTTCTATATACAGCATCTTATCAAGAGTACTCAAGCTACCCATGTCTTATAATTTATACCGGAAGTAATTTATATATAAGACCCTTTACTGCCCAGTTTTTCTAAGGCAAAATTATAAAACTAATCTTTTTTAAATTGTCTATACTTTAAAGCATAAAATTATAAATACTTCCTAAATGTAGCATTTTATTTGACTATGATTTTTAGTAAGTTGTGTTTCTTCTTTGATGTCATTTTTTTAACCCTCTCCTCAACCCTGATGGAATGCAAAATAGACAGCACACTACCCCTCTCCAAAAAGGGTAATAACCGAAAATTCTGAAGACACTGCTTAATTCAAGGTAACAGCAAAAATTCTGTATCAAAAATGGATTCAGTAAGGTTTCTTTATATAAAAAAGACGAGTGAAAATGTTGCTCAAAAATTCAACAGCTTCCAATTTATCTTACCCAGAAAATACAAACTCTTCAATGAATCTTCTATATCTTGTCTTGAACCTGCTCTCTGCTCCAAACCAACTGCTTATTTCTCCTCAAACATATTCCACATTTTTAAACTTTTGCCTTATATTTTCTTAATGCTCACTCTCTCCAAAATTCTTATTCCTTAGCCTGTCTTTAAAAAATTCCATTTATTCTTCATGCTCATCTCATAAACCACCTTTGCATATAGATCCTACATATTCCAATGATCCTCTATGGCACTTTATTAATGTATCTCCCATGGTACAGCTTATTCTGCATTGTTATGTAGTTATTTGTGAATTTACTGTAATAATGATAACAGAAACACCAGCCACAAGAGTTGAGACTTAATGAATGCTTACTATATGCTAGGAATTAACATGCATATTTCTATTTTATAGATGAGAACTGAGGCTTTGAGTGAATGAGTAACCTGCCATATCCAGATCTGATTGATTCCAGAGGTTCAGTGAGCTCTTAGCCACTCGCTCATTACAAAGTCATTGCTCACAGGTTGTGCTTTTCCTTACTTCTGCATTTCTGCAACGTGGAGAGCAGTAGCTTTCAAGTAACAGAATCCAGTAAATAATTTATTACACTAAACTGGACTACAGTTAGAAAAAACTACTATTATAATTCATTCCAACAGGGGTATCCAAATACTTCCATTCCAACAGAACAATATTCTCAAAGTTTATATTAACACTGCTAATCAGGATTTGAGATTAAACAATTTTAATGTGAACATTAGGGGAAATAGCCTATGCATTGAAAATATGTGCATTTTCATCCTTAATATGTCTGTATACGGTCTGTTTTATAGAAGAAAAGGATATGTATTTCAATCATTCAATATGTATATATAAGTATGTATACACACATGTACAAACACATGCACAAATGCATGCACATATAAAGTTGTCATCTGGGCATGATAAAACACCAAATACATTTATAAACAGTGAGAAGGTAATAAAGAAATAAATTAAGACAGCTCATATCTAAAAGGACAGCAAACCTGATTTTTGGATTGTATCTTATCTCTGTGTGGATGTGCTTCTCTGTTTGATGACAGAGCAGGATCTTGCTGAACTGCACCCACTGGAGTAGGCTGTGACACAATAACAATTAGCATCAATGCATTCTATTTCAGAAGTCTTATTTAAAATTATTTAGCACCTTAAAATAATAAAAAAATAATAAAAGATACTATTACATAAAGCCTTGATTAAGAAAAGGATCTTCCCTAAAATATGTTGCTAAATACACAAGATTAAAGCAAAGAAATTATAGCTACTATTTAAAGTAGCTTCAAAATATTTAAACACTTTATCAAGTATTTATTTTTGTATCAACAAAAGACCTTTTAATGTTACCATTACTTTTTAGATTAATTCTTCTTATTAAAAAAACACAATGTATTTGCTTATGTCTCTCATTTCCAAAGCCAATATATAAACAGAAAAAGTTATTTTATGAAAATTAAGGGAATAATTTTTTAAATAAGCTAATAAAATTGGTTACTGTCAATATTTTAACTCAGAAGAGACTTTTATAAAATTTACTTTCAAATATAATTCAAAATTTCATAATAAATGCATTAATCAAAGTATATTCAGGTTTGCATTTTAGATACAATATATATTCAGATCACTTTGGAGCTAAGAAAAATACAGATTAAACATTTAAGTAAGCCAACTGTTCAAAAGTACTTGAATCTGAGAGCTTGGTAGTTCCAAATATGGACAAAAATTGGTATCAGTGAACTGAAAGTAAATTTTGTAAGGCATTCTTATTTATTTAAAAATAAGACTAGTGAGAATAAATATTTGATTTTTTTTAAGTCATCTCTTCAAAGAAAGAACTTAATGTTGTGTTCATTTAAGTAGTGACACTCATCCCATAGTCATGATCCAGACAAATTTTTTGGGCAGTTTTTATAGTTAAAAAACCCTAAACTTGCTCTGATATATACGTATCAATCTATTGCAAAATTACCTAAAACTGCTAGAATAATTAAAGTATATTCTAAAATTACAAATATCTTGAGCAATGACTAAAGAAAAAACTAGCTCATCTTTTAAATTAATCACTAGAATACTGCATTTTTGATATTAAGTATTTTTGATATTAAGTATGTTTGATATTAAGAACTAAATCAGAAGTAAAATATTCAAAATAACCCATTACTCTAAAAAGCAGATTCCAAATTCTCCACTTTTACAAAACTCAAAGAATGAATCCTTTAAAAATTATTTATTCTCAATCCTAAAATGTATATGGAACCACAAAGATCCTGCCCAGCAATCTTGAGAAAAAAGAACAAATCTGGGGGTATAACACTCCCTGACTTCAGACTATACTACAAAGTTACAGTAATCAAATCAGCACAGTACTAGCGTTAACAACAGACACATACGTCAACAGAAAAGAGAGCTCAGAAATAAACCCACATATGTACAATCAATCAACCTAATTAATCTATGACAGAGGAAGCAAGAATATACAAACAAGAAAAGACAGTCTCTTCAATAAGTGGTGCTGAAAAACTGGACAGCTGTGTGTAAAAGAATGAGATCAGAACATATCCTAATACCACACACAAAAACGCACTCAAAATGGATTGAAGACCTTTATGTATGAAACCACAAAATTCCCGGAAGAAAGCACAAGTGAACATTCTGACTTAAACTGCAGCAATATTTTTTTGGATCTGTCTCTTAAGGTAGAAGAAACAAAAGCAAAAATAAACAAATTAAACTTTAAAGCTTTGGCACAGCAAAGAAAACCATCAACAAAATGAAAAGACAACCTACTGAATATATTTGCAAATGATATGACTGACAAGAGGTTAATAATCAAAATTTATGAATCGCTCATACAGTAACAAAAAAAAACCAACAAATAAGCAGAAGATGTGAATAGTTTTCCAAAGAAAACATACAGATGGCTAACAGATACATGAAAAAATGTTCAACATTACTAATCATCAGAGAAATTAAAATCAAAACCATAATGAGACATCATTTCACACTTCTCAGAACGGCCATTGTTAAAAAGACACAAAATAACAACTGTTGGTGAGGATATGGATAAAGTGGAACCCTTGTGCACTACTGGTGGAAATTTAAATTAGTGCAGCCACCGCGGTAAACATTATGAAGAGTCCTCAAAAGACTAGAAGTATAACTACCTTATGGTCCAGCATTACACTGCTGGGTATATATCCAAAGAAAATGAAAAAGTAATTCAATGTTCAAAACAGCATTATATACAATAGCCAAGACACGGAAGCAACCTAAGTGCCCATCAGCAGATGAATGGACAAAGAAGTATGGAGGGGACCTTCCCTGGTCACTCAGTGGTAAAGAGTCCGCCTGCTAATGCAGGAGACATGGGTTCAATCCCTGATCCTGAAGATCCCACATGCCTTGAGGCAACTAAACCTGAGTGCTACAACTACTGAGCCTGTGCTCTAGAGCCCAGGTGCCTCAACGACTGAAGCCCAAAGCCCTGGGGCCATGCTCCACAACAAGAAAAACCACTGCAATGAGAAGCCCACACACTGCAACCAGAGATAGCCCTTGCTCTCTGCAACTAGAGAAAAGCCTGTGCAGCAATGAAGACCCAAAACAGCCCAAGGTAAAAAGATAAAGAAATAAACATTTTAAAAAGGAACGTTATGGAAGAATTATGAACGGAGGTTCGTGACATTGTGCAGGAGGCAGGGATCAAGACCATCCCCAAGAAAAAGAAATACAAAATGTAAAATGGTTGGCTGAGGAGGCCTTATGAACAGTTGTGAAAAGAAGAGAAGAGAAAAGCAAAGAAGAAAAGGAAAGATATACTCATTTGAATGCAGAGTTCCAAAGAATAGCAAGGAGAGATAAGAAAGCCTTCCTCAGTGATCAATGCAAAGCAATAGAAGAACTATACAAGAAAGATCTTGTTGACCCAGATAATCACGATGGTATGCTCACTCACCTAGACCTAGACATCCTGGAATGCGAAGTCAAAGGGGCCTTAGGAAGCATCACCATGAACAAAGCTACCGGAGGTGATGGAATTCCAGTTGAGTTATTTCAAGTCCTAAAAGATGAAGCTGTGAAAGTGCTGCACGCAATATGCCAGCAAATTCGGAAAACTGAGCAGTGGCTACAGGACTGGAAAAGGTCAGCTTTCATTCCAACCCCCAAAAATGGCAATGCCTAAGAATGCTTAAACTATGGCACAATTGCACTCATCTCACATGCTAGCAAAGTAACGCTCAAAATTCTCCAAGCCAGGCTTCAACAGTGTGTGAACCATGAACTTCCAGATGTTCAAGTGGATTCAGAAAAGGCAGAGGAACCAGAGATCAAATTGCCAAAATCTACTGGATCATGGAAAAAGCAAGAGAGTTCCAGAAAAACATCTACTTCTGCTTTATTGACTACGCCAAAGCCTTTGATTGTGTGGATCACAACAAACTGGAAAATTCTGAGAGAGATGGGAATACAAGACCACCTGACCTGCCTCTTGGGAAACCTGTATGCAGGTCAGGAAGCAATAGTTAAAACTGGACATGGAAGAGGATACTGGTTCCAAATTAGGAAAGGAGTATATCAGGCTGTATACTGTCACCCTACTTATTTAACTCATATGCAGAGTACATCATGAGAAACACTGGGCTGGATGAAGCACAAGCTGGAATCAAGATTGCTGGGAGAAATACCAATAACCTCAGATATGCAGATGACACCACCCTTATGGCAGAAAGCAAAGAAGAACTAAAGAGCCTCTTGATGAAAGTGAAAGAGGAGAGTGAAAAAGTTGGCTTAAAACTCAACATTCAGAAAACTAAGATCATGGCATCTGGTCCCATCATTTCATGGCAAACAGATGGGCAACAGTGGAAATAGCGAGACACTTTCCTTTTTTGGGCTCCAAAATCACTGCAGATGGTGACTGCAGCCATGAAACTAAAAGATGCTCACTCCTTGGAAGAAAAGTTATGACCAACTTAGACAGCATACTAAAAAGCAGAGACATTACTTTGCCAACAAAGGTTCGTTTAGACAAAGCTATGGTTTTTCCAGTAGTCATGTATGGATGTGAGAGTTGGACTATAAAGAAAGCTGAGCACCAAAGAACTGATGCTTTTGAACTGTGGTGTTAGAGAAGACTCTTGAGAGTCCCTTGGACTGCAAGGAGATCCAACCAGTCCATCCTAAAGGAAATCAGTCCTGAATATTCATTGGAAGGACTGATGTTGAAGCTGAACTCCAATACTTTGGCCACCTGATGCAAAGAACTGACTCATTTGAAAAGACCCTGAGGCTGGGAAAGATTGAAGGTAGGAGAAGGGGACAAGAGAGGATGAGATGGTTGGATGGCATCACCAACTCAACGGACTTAAGTCTGAGTAAACTCCGAAAGTTGGTGATGGACAGGGAAGCCTGGCGAGCTGCAGTCCATGGGGTCGCAAAGAGTCAGACACGACTAAGCGACTGAACTAGACTATATGATAAAATATTACTCAGCCATAAAAAAGAACGGAATTCTGCCATTTGCAACAGTGTGACTGGAACTATAGAGTATTATGCTTAGGAGAAATATACTCTTGTTATCATTAATATGTGGAGCCTAAAAAATAGAACAAACAAATGAATATAACAAAAAAGGAACAGACTTAAAAATATAGAGAACAATCTTGTGGTTACCAGTGAGGAGAAAAGACAAAGGAGAGGCAAGACAAGAGTAGGGGATTGAGAGACACAAACTGCCATCTATTTAATAAATTAGCAAAAAGGATATACTGTACAGCACAGAAAAATATAGATATTATTCTGTAATAACTTAAAATGGAGCATAATCTATAAAAATATTAAATCACTATGACGTTCACCTAAAACGTGTACTGTAAATCAACTATACTTCAAAATAATAAATTATTTGTTCTCAACTCTTTTCAAATAAAGGATCTGTACTATGAAAATGAAGCTAAGTACTACAAATTATCTTTTGTTTTTCTTATACAGCCTGGAGTACTCACCAACTGTTTACCAATCCAGTCATATTCATAATCAAACATATATCCTTTTCGATCAAACAAGTCAGTAAAAAGTTTTCTTAGGTAGTCATAATCTGGTTTTTCAAAAAAATCTAGCCTTCTTACATAACGAAGATACGTTGCCATTTCTTCTAGAAAGAAAATAAAAATTACTCTGATTAAACTTTTCTATATACATTTTAATAATAAAATTATAAATATCTAAAAGGACAAGTGTTATAAGAACACATGAAAAAGTAGCAAGATTCTACTATCAGTGAAAATATTATGAACTTAATAACAATGAAATTAAAAAGGGTGAAAAGAAGGGAGGAAAGGAAACAGAAGAAAAACCTGAGATTTAACAAGTATTATTTTTGCTTCAGTAGAAAAGGCTGAAAATTTTTTTAAGTAATAGTTTTAATAGAAACCTTGGATAGTACTGAAGGTTGAAACAGAAATTTCAACAATGCATAATTATTTAATGACAAAACACCATACTCAGCTCATACTGTTAATACTGACGGGAGCCGATTTATACATGAAAGCATTTGCACTAGTTTGCTGGATTTTCTTTAGAATCTGTGACACACACTAACTGACCAAAAGAGGATTCAAATACTTAATCTAGGCCAAATGGTATTCTACCCAACAGACCTAGCAACATCGAGTTAAAACAGATTCAGGAGAACAGTTTAATTATTCTCTTAATTTCTAGTCATAAAAGTTATAATTATTTGGTAATACATAAACCTTTGAATGGTATTATAATTCCCAAATGCATTAGAGATATATATGTTTTAAAAGGTCATCGTTTCCAGAAGCAAAAGAAAGAAAAAGTCATAAAAATCAACAAGCAAAATGGTGATCAGTAAAACAGAGTTTTACCATGTGAGCACTGTAATAAGAGATAGTAGATTATACCTAGCTGATCCAATTTATTCATGGCAGCTGATAAGAACAGGGTAACCCACAGCCTAAAGAGGCATGAAAGTAGCACCAACCCAATTACATGGTGACTCTCCCAATATTCTACTTTCTAGCTAATCATCTAATTTACTTTGGCACTCCCATTTCTCCTGCAGAAATTTGTACAAGCTTCTTAATGCAGAGCCAATCTGCCTACCACTAAACTGTTTGGTACTATATTATCAAGTGATTTTTTTTTTAATCTTTCAGTTCTAGATGTGATAGCAAGAAAACAAGACATATAATTAAAGTTTGCTATCAATGAATAAAAAAAGCAAACTTTAAAAAGGGCTACCTGAGATTATGCTGCTGATACTTTCATAGTAATAATGCCAGCACTATACAAGAGAACCTGCAAATACTGAAGTGAGATATTAGGTTGATGAAAAAGTAACTGCGGTTCTGCATGGTTGAACACTGCCATTTGATACTGGAATGCATTCTTAAATAAGTATGGTTATACATCATTTTAATGCACATTTCTCACTTTATTTTTTTTTTGCTAATCACTAATTACTTGCTTTTTATTGTATACATATTTTAGACTACAGAAATTATGTTAGACAAAAAGCCAATTCAAGTGATTTTCTTATTTAAGTTCAAAATGGGTCATAGGCAGTGGAGACAGCTCGCAACATCAACAACACATTTGGTGTTGGAAATACTAACAAAAACATACACTGTGGTGGTGGTTCAAGAAGTTTTGCAATGGAGACGAGCACCTTGAAGACGAGGAGCCCAGTGGCTGGCCATCAGAAGTTGACAACAAACAATTGAGAGCATCATCGAAGCTGATCCTCTTACAACTTACATGACAAATGGCCAAAAACCTCAAGGTCGACCATTCTACGGTCATTCAGCACTTGAAGCAAATTGGAAAGCTGAAAAAGCTCAATAAGTGGATGTCTCATGAGCTAACCGCAAGTCAAAAAAATCGCCGTTTTGAAGTGCTGTCTTCTCTTATTCTACAACAACAAACCATTTCTCGATCAAATTATAACATGCGACGAAAAGTGGATTTTATATGACAACCAGCTCAGTGGCTGGACAGAGAAGCAGCTTCAAAGCACTTCTCAAAGCCAAACTTGCACCAAAAAAAGCTCAGTCACTGGTTGGTGGTCTGATGCTGGCTGGTCTGTTACACTATAGCCTTCTGAACCCTGGCAAAACCATTACATCTGAGAAGTATGCTCAGCAAATGGATGCACTGAAAACTGAAATGCCTACAGCCAGCACTGGTCAACAAAAATGGCTCAATTCTTCTCCGTAACAATGCCTGACTGCACGTTGTACAAAAATGCTTCAAAGGTTCAAAGAACTGGGCTAAGAAGTTCTGCCTCATCTGCTACATTCACCTGACCTCTTGCCAATTGACAACCACTTCTTTAAGCATCTTGATGACTTTTTGCAGGGAAAATGCTTCCACAATCAGCAGGAGGCAGAAAATGCTTTCCAAGACTTCATCAAATCTGGATGCATGGATTTTTATGCTATAGAAATAAAATTCTCTCTCATGGGAAAAATTGTGTTGTCTGTAATGATTCCTATTTTGATTAAAAGAGATGTGTCAGAGCCTAGTTATAATGATTTAAAATTCATGGTCTGAAACCACAATTACTTTTGCAGCAACCTAACATAAGCTCCATCTTCTACCTTCAAGTTTGGTTCTCATTTACTGTTATTGCATAAATCATAATCTCCTTCATGGATCATAACCTTGTCATGGCAGAGGGGCTTGCATAACTCAAAGAAGCTATGAACCATGCCATGCCGGGCCACCCAAGATGGATGGGTCATAGTGACGAGTTCTCACAAAACGTTGTCCAATGGAAAAGGAAATGACAACCCACTCCAGTATTCTTGCCTGGAGAATCCCATGAACTATATGAAAAGGGAAAGATATATGATGCCAGAAGATGAGCCCTCCAAGTTTGAAGGTGCCCAATATGCTACCAGGGAAGAGCAGAGGGCAATTACTAATAGCTCCAGAAAGAATGAAGCAGCTGGGCCAAAGTGGAAATGATGCTCAGTTACGGTTGTGTCTGCTGGTGAAAGTAAAGTAGATGCTGTAAAGAACAATACTGTAGCTAGGACACTGAAGCAACCTAGATGTCCATCGGCAGACAAACGGATAAGGAAGCTGTGGTACGTATACACAATGGAATATTATCAGCTATAAAAAAGGACACATGTGAGTCAATCCTAATGATGTCGATGAAACTGGAGCCTATTATATAGAGCAAAGTAAGTCAGAAAGAGAAACACCAATACATTATGTTAATGCATATATATGAAATTTAGAAAGATGGCAATGACGACCCCATATGCAAGACAGTGAAAGAGACACAGATGTAAAGAAAAAACTTTTGGACTCTGTAGGAGAAGGCGAGGGTGGGAAAATTTGAGAGAATAGCATTGAAACGTGTATATTACCATATGAAAAACAAATGACCAGTTCAAGTTCAATGCATAAAGCAGGGCACTCAAAGCTGGTGCTCTGGGACAACCCAGGGAGACGGAGTGCAGGGGGAGGTGGGGCAGGGGATTCAGGATGGGGACACATGTACACCCATGACTGATTCATGTCAATGTATGGCAAAAACCACCACAATATTGTAAAGTAATTAGCCTCCAGTTAAATAAATTAAAAAAAAAAAAAAAGAGCAATGCTGACATAGGAACCTGGAATGTTAGGTCCATGAATCAAGGTAAACTGGACATGGTCAAGTAGGAGATCAAGAGTGAATATCAACATTTTAGGAATCAGTGAACTAAAATAGACAATAATTGGGTGAATTTAATTCAGAGGGCCATTGTATCAACTACGGTGGACAAGAATCCCTTAGAAGAAATGAAGTAGTCCTCACAGCCAACAAAAGAGTCCAAAATGCAGTATCTGGGTGCAATCTTAAAAATGACAGAATGATCTTGGTTTATTTCCAAGGCAAACCATTCAACATCTCAATAATTAAGTCTATACTCCAACCACTGATACTGAAGAAGTTGAAGCTGACTGGTTCTATGAAGATCAACAACACCTTCTAGAACTAACACCAAAAACAGAGTCCTTTTCATAATTAGGCTGTGTGTATGTGTGCTCAGTCATGTCTGACTCTTTGCAAGTCTACCCCAAGGACTGTAGCCTGCCAGGCTCCTCTGTTCATGGGATTTCTCAGGCAAGAATACTGGAGCGGGTTGCCATTTCCTTCTCCAGGGGATCTTCACAAGCCAGGGATCAAACCCATGTCTCTCGAGTCTCCTACATTGGCAGGCGTATTCTTTACCACTAGTGCCACTTGGAAAGCCCTTCATAACCTCAGGGACTGGAATGCAAAAGAAGAAAGTCAAGCGTTACCCACAATAATATGCAATTTTGGCCTTGGAATACAAAATGAAGCAGGGCATAGGTTAAAAGAATTTTATCAAGGGAACACATTTAGTCATAGCAAACACCTTTTCCAACACAAGAGACAACTCTATATATGGACATCACCAAATGATCAACACCAAAATCAGAATGATTATATTCTCTGCAGCTGAAGACAGAGAAGCTCTATACAAGTAGCAAAAACAAGACCTGGAGCTGACTGTGGCTCAGATTATGAGCTTCTTATTGCAAAATTCAGGCTTAAATTGAAGAAAGTAGGGGAAACCACTAGACCTAAAGCAAATTCCTTATGATTATACAATGGAGACGAAGCATAGATTCAAGGGATTAGATTTACTAGACAGAGTACCTGAAGAACTATGGATTGAGGCTTATAACACTGTACAGGAGACAGTGACTGAAACCATCCCAAAGAAAAATAAATGCAAGGAAACAAAGTGGTTGTCTGAGGAGGCTTAGGAAGCTAAGGAAAGCAGGGAAGTAAAAGGCAAGGGATAAAGGGGAAGATATACCCAACTGAATGCTAGCAAGGCTATGCTCAAAATCTTTCAAGCAAGGCTTCAGAAGTATGTGAACCAAGAACTTCCAGAAGTACAAGCTGGGTTTAGAAAAGGCAGAGGAACCAGAAATCAAATTGCCAACACCTGCTGGATCATGGAGAAAGCAAGGAACTCCCAGAAAAGTATCTACTTCTGCTTTAGCCTTTGCCTGTGCAGATCACAACAAACTGTGGAAAACTGTTAAAGAGATGGGAATACCAGACCACCTTAACCTGTCCCCTGAGAAAACCATATGTGGGTCAAGAAGCAACAGTTAGAACTGGACAGGAAACACTGGACTGGTTCAAAATTGAGAAAGGAGGATGACAAGGCTGAACATTGTCACCCTGCTTATTTAAATTCCATGCAGAGCACATCATGCAAATGCCAGGCTGGATGAATCACAGGCTGGAATCAAGACTGCCAGGAGAAGTATCTACAACCTCAGCTGTGCAGATGATACCAGTCTAACAGCACAAAGTGCAGAGGAACTAAAGAGCCTGTGACAAAGGTGTGAGATCAGAGTGAAAAAGCTGTCTTAAAACGCAACATGCAAAAAACTAACGTCATGGCATCCAGTCGAATCACTTCACGTCAAATAAAAGGGGAAAAAGTAGAAGCAGTGACAGATTTTATTTTCTTGGGCTCCAGAATCACTGTGGACAGTGACTGCAGCCATGAAATTAAAAGACATTTGCTCCTTGGAAGGAAAGCTGTAACAAACCTAGCAGCTTATTAAAAAGAAGAGACATCACTTTGCTGACAAAGGTCCATACAGTCAAAGCTATGGTTTTTCCAGTAGTTATGTACAGATGTGAGAGTTGGACAATAAAGAAGGCTAAGTGTCAATGAACTGATACTTTCTAACTGTGGCAGTGGTGAAGACTCTTGAGAGTCCCATGGATTGCAAGGAGACCAAAACAATCAATCCTAAACGAAAGCAACCCTGTTTAGGCACTGGAGCTAAAGCTCTATATCTGGCCAACAGATGCAAAGAGCAGACTCACTAGAAAAGACCGGGATGCTGGGAAACATTGAAGGCAAAGGGAGAAGGGGGCGGCAGAGGAGGAGATGGTTGAAAAGCATCACTGACACAATGGACGTGAATGTGAACAAACTCCAGGAGATAGTGGGAAACAGAGGAGCTTGGTATGCTACAGTCCCATGGGTTGCAGAGTCGGAGATGACTTAGGGACTGAACAACAACAACATATTATAACAGGTATTTTAACACATTATGGACACATTACTCTTATCCATTAATTAATTTAGAAATCTTAAGTAAATTTTTGTTGATTTCATGTGAGTTGCCAAAAAGGTACATGAGAGCAAAACTATCTTCATAAAATAAAAAATTAGCCTAAAAGTAGTAAGGTTAGTAGATTTTGCTGTTGGAAAACTAGACTACATCATATATCACATACCTCCTTTAAGACTGATACTGAGACTCAAATGACTAATACTGAACACCAAAACTTTACAGTTGGTATTTCTGAGCAAATATTTCAACTTATTCAAAGTATGCTATTGAAGAAAATATTACTTTAGCTGGTACTGGTCAACACTATTAGAAGGATTTTTTTCCATTAATATCATCTTACAAAGCAAATACATAAATTGCCCCTGTGGTCTGTGTATCAATTGCTGACATCTTTTAAGTCATATTTTTTAATCATGAAAAAAGTACTTATAAACTTAAGTAATGATGATTAACACTTACAGTTTTCTGTGTATAATAAGCACATGTATCAGTACAGCATTATTCATTACCTGGAAAATTTTCACATAACACTTCTATTGGTGTGGCTCGTTTTGTATCTCCAATTTTCTGATACCTCTCTTTTAATGTGTCAGCCTAAAACAGAGAGAAAAAACTCTTGAGAAGTAATTTTAAAATTAAATACTTGGAAGAAAGTATCTTAATAGATTAATAACTTATTAAATTCAATAAAGAAACACAAAAACAATTACCTTTAAACCTTGCCAAGGAAGACTCCCTCTCAGAAAATACATGAACATGTGACCTAAAGCTTCTAAGTCATCTCTTCTACTTTGTTCTGAAATATAAAAGAAACATAAATTTAATTTTCCTTTCCCAGTAAAGGATGCAAGAATGGAAAAATGATTTTTTTCCTTACATGTAAATTAATTCCTGATAATTTCTCCAAGTTCAGCATATAAAATACAAATCAAATCATGTCTAAACAACAATGGGTTTACAGTAAAATTATCATGCATTTAAAAAACATGCCACTGTGATTTTTTTAGATGCTACTGGAGATTTATTTCTTTCCTTAAATATTAATATCTATTCCTACAAATAAGGTAAGGAGGAAAGGGTTCCATGATGAAAAACAGAGTCACTGTGTACTACAGCTCCATTTTACAAGATTTAGAATATAACATATTAAAATTTTGAAAATACCTAGAACTAACAATGTTTAACTTTCATTAGTCCATTTCCTAAACTGAAATGAGCACAAAAATTCCATCCCACATACCATACTCTCCATTAGTATTAAATACCATTAATATATTGCACAATATATTTTTAAAAGCACTAGCGTTTGACGCATTCCAATGGTAGTAACTCCTCTGGCAGCACCAAAAATATGCTACCAGAACAAATTGCCATTTTCAAGTTTCTATTGTTCTAGCAACAAAATGTTGTATAGCATATAACTGAATGATATAATAACAGACCAAGACTCAGGGAGGTACTTACAAATATTTGCTGAGTGAACGTTTTTTTTTTTCAATGTTTTTGTCACTTGAGCTAAATGCCTAAGTTTTGTTAGTATTTTAAAATAATACAAAAATGTTAACAGTAAGAGGAGATACTAGTTTAATAAGAGAATGTTCATGTGCAAGATGTTTCATCCAAATGAACACTAAGACTATCCAAGCAGTACTAAATGCTTTAGGAAAAGCAAACCTTTCAAAGGACGGATCTGAACTAGAGTGAAAGGGTCAAAAATGTTTTAATTTTTACTATGCAACCTTAGAGTATTCTGTAATTGTCTTCTGAAACACTTGTTACAGTTAATAAATATGCTTGTGTTTTTATTTAAACAACATCTATCCTCTCACCTTACAACGCGTCACAGGAGAACAGAGGTCTCTGGCTCAATAGCCTCAGGGCCTATTGTAATGGCTGCCACAAAACAGGCAATCAAGGCATACTACTTAAATATATAAGTGACTATATAAAAATATACTAGATTTGTCCCTATTAAATCTAGATTATGTCTCTTTTCTATAACTATAGGGAAATATCTAGAAGAATAGGAATCAAATCATTAGTAATTAGGGATATGAAACTGGGGGACTAGAAGGGGTATTTCAATACCTTACTTCATATGCTAAAAAATGTGATATAATGGGAATTTTTCCTTATATTTCATATTTTAACAATGTAAGCATATTTTATTTTTAAAAAAGCAAACTTTCAAAGTAAGTAATATAGACTTAAAATTCTTCTAAAACCCATTAATGAAAGCAGGATATGAATAACATGAAAAAAGTCCAGTAATGACTTTTATAACTAAAATTTCACTTTACTAGACCCGAGGAGTCTTAAAGAATGAGAAGTCATGGAAAGAAAAAAAATACTATTTCTGAAGCCCCACTGAGAATCAGAATCACCTCTGAAGCTCTTAAGAATGTCAGATGAGTATAGCTAAGGCTGGATGTTGATTCTCTGGGTATGACATAGAGTAGAAGAATGTACACTTAAAGTTTAGCAGATGATTCTGAAGTATAACCAGATTTGATAAGCACTAAAACAAACTTCTTTTACTTATGTCTAATTTTACATATAATAAAATATACTTATTAAAGGGTACAGTTTGATAAATATTGGCAACACATACATATAAGTACTACCACAATCAATAAGTATTTCCAACCCTCCAAAAAGATTCCCTTTTAAGCCTTACCTGCTATGCTCCCCCTCCCCTGGCCTCAACCACGCACATGTTTTCTGTTACACTACAGAAGATTCAACTTTTTATAGAGTTTCACATGCATAGGATCATACAGTATGGACCATTGTGTCCAGATTATTTTGCTTTACTCCTGTTGCTGTAATCTTTAATTAGTACCTCATTACTTTTTATTGCCAAAATCATTTATCTATTCGGCTACTGATGTACCTTTGAGGAACTTCCAGTTTTGAGTTATTGTAAATAAGGCTGTTAGGATCATTCTTGCACAAGTCTTTGTGTGGACATATGTTTCCATTTCTCTCACATATCCAGGAGTGGATTCCCACTCCCATTCCCATTCCTACACTCAAAGTGTAGGTTTGACTTTATAAGAAACTTATGCACTATTTTCCAAAGGGTTTGTCCCATTTTATATTTCCACAAGCAATACATGAGACTTCAAGCTGCTCCAGAACCTATCATTCAGTATGGTCAATCTTTCATATTTAGCCACACTAATGGCCATGAAGTACTACCTCACTTCGATTTGAGTTTCACTGGTGACAACATTTTGAACATTGTTTCACGTTGTTACTGGTCATTCACATATCTTTTTGTGACATGTTGCGATACTGTACCCATGTTTAAAAAATTATATTATTTGTCTTATAATAAATCTTAAAGAGTAGTTTGTGTATTTTGGATGTAAGTCATTTTCAGATACAAGCTTTGCAAATACTTTCTCCCACACTGTAGCATGTTTTTTTCATTTGCTTAACAGTATCCTTCGAAGAACAGCAGTTTATATTTAGATGAAACCCAATTTATTAGACGTCTTTGTTGTTGTTTTATTGCTTATGCTTTTTTATGTCTTAACTAGAACATCTTTGACTATCCTAAGGTCACAAAGATTTTCTATTTTTCCTTCAAGAAATCCTATAGTTTTGGTTCTAACATTTAAATCTGTGAATCATTTGAAGTATTTTTCTCCTGTTTGCTTTTGTTGTAAGGGTTTAGATTCATTTTTTTCAATACCGATGCCTAGTTATTCTCACAAAGTTTCTTGAGAAGGTTGTCTTTTCCCCTGGGGTAACTTTTGCACTATCCTCAAAAATCAATTAAGCATCCATGTATGGGTCTATTTCAGAACTGTATTATGATTCAATTACCTATGTCTGTACCAACACCACCCAAAATAAGTAAAAGAAAAGAAAAAATAATGATAAATTAGAAAACCAATAATGAGAAAATGGACAACCAGTAGAGAAAAACATTGAAATCAAAAGCTGGTTATTTGAAAAGTTGGGTAAAATTAATCCTCTCATTAGGATAAAGGAGAGAACACAAATTACTATTATCTGGGGGCATCAGGACAGATCCTACAGACAGTAAAAGGATGATAAAGGAATGTTACAAACTAACATTAAGCCAATACATCCAACAACTTAAATGAAATGGACAAGTATTTTGAAAGCTATAAATTACCAAAATTACCTCAAGAAGAAGACAGCTTTATATTAAACAAAATTTAATTTATAATTTATAATCTCCAAATATAACTATGGGCCCAGAAATTATCACTAGTAAACTCAATAGAATTTACTAGAATTTACTAGAAACATTTAAGGAACAATACCATTTCAACACAAACTCTTTCAGAAAATAGAAGAGAAGGAAACCCCTCCCAACTTAATTCACTACCCTGTTACCAAAGCCAGACAAATGCATAAACAAGCAAAGAAAACTACAGGAAATATCTCTCATTAACACAGATGCAAAATCCTTAAAAAGAAAGTAAACCATGACGAAGTAGGGGTCATCCTATGACTTGAAGTTTGGTTTAACTTTCAAAAACCAATTGATATAATTATCCAACATTAAAAGAAGATATGAATCATAAGAACATCTCAAAAAATATAGAAAAAGTATTTGAGAAAAGCTAACATGCATTTATGATTAAAAAATCCTCAAATTAAAAAAAGGAAACTTCTTCATATTAAAAAAGGACCTCTATGAAAAAAACAAATTCTTATATGAGGAAAAGGCATCCTTAAGATCCAGAACAAAGCAAGGATGTTCACTCACATTTTCTATTCAATATTGTACTAGAAGTTCCTGTCAGTACAACAAAAGGAAGAGAAAAAATTAAAAGATATCCAGATTGAAACTGAAGAAGTGAAACTATTTTTCTTTTTCTTTCTACATATGACCACATATGTAGAAAATCCTAAGTAACCCACACACAAAAAAAGCTGTTAGGACTAGTAATGAGTTTTAGCAAGGATATATGATACAAGGTCAGTATATAAAAATTAATTGTATTCTTATACTAGAAATGAACAATCAGAAAATGAATGTGAACAGTAATAAAATTTCCAATAGCATCAGAAAACATGAAACGTGGGGATAAATTTATCAAAACACAAGCAATACTTTGTAGTATTGCTTGTATTAATTATAGTATATGGGTCTAAAGACTAAATGCTAAGTGATATATAAAAACAGTGGGCCCACCATATCTATGGGTTTTGCCTCTGTGGATTCAACCAACCATGGACTGAAATATCTGTAAAAAATAATTCCAAAGAGTTCCAAAAAGCAAAACTTGAACTTGCCAAGGGTTGGCAACTATTTACAAAGCATTTACATTGTATTAGCTATTATAAATAATCAAGAGGTGATTTAAAGTATATGGGAGAATGTGTGTAGGTTATCTGCAAATACTATGCAATTTCATATTAGGGCTTGAGCATCCTTGGGTTTTGGCATCCTCAGGGTCCTGGAACCAATTTGTGGATACCAAGGGACAAGTATACTGAGCCCTACAGTAGGATTTTTACTAAGGAGAGGAACTGGTCATAAAGGCAATTCTCCATTGAATTCAAACCAAGGGGAGGTTTAGTTATCACAGTGACAATAAGTCAAGATCATAAGGTGATCTTGCCTACAGGCTTGTCTCACAAAACAGTCTCATAACCTATAGAGTATTTAAAAATTCAAACCATAAATAGGAGCTATTAAAATAAACCTATTACCAAAACTTGGTCTGAAATATTCCTTACTCTGATAATTCCTTTCTTTCTGTTTTATCACCAACTGACAAATGTGAAAATAAATTTCACTGTGCAGTA